TTTTCATATGGAGTACTAATAATCAACTCATAATCTCGAGCTAAAGAGTAAGCGTGATCAAGAGTAGTGACACCTCGAAGGAAAAGCTCACGCTTAAGATCATCTCTCAGACCTTGGCTAAACCTACTCAAAGTGGTGCTCTCATCCTCAATTAAATGACATTTGATTCGAAATTCCTCAAATTGCGCGATATACTCAGTCACTAATTGATTTCCTTGTTTAAGGGCATTCCATTGAGTAAGAATTTCAAAATTATCTCGTTCTCGCTCACGAATCTGATTCCTATTCCTATCCCTATCCTTACAATCTGGTTGAAAGTATTTTTGATTACCTTGTCGACGATATTGTCTATTATGGGACACCTTAAAATTATTAACATCAATCGAATGAGGGATGTGTTTAAAATTTTTTGAACTAACAGATAGGGCCTTACTCTCTTCAAGAGTAGCGGTCATTTGAATTTGAATAGCCGCTATTTGTTGGGTGAGTGCATCGAATTGTGAGGGTTTCATGTTTAAGGTACTAGAGCTAGAAGTGACAAGATGACCAATATGTAACTACATGCAAAGCAATACTACCTAAATAAAATGCAATAGAGAGACCAATATGCATCAAGGACCAACGATTAAAACATCAATTTGAAATTCTCTCTCTCTTTTCTTCCCTTCCAAAAATGCAAGTTAATAGTGCTGATGCTTGTAAATAATAAAGCAAAGGTCCAATGTTTGTTAAGATCAAATGGTATTGTCAAGATTTCCAATCAGGTAGATAAAAGAGGTAATAATGGCACATCAATTCAGTGAGATAAATGGGGCAACAATGGCAAGCCAATTCAATGAGTGATTCCAGTCAAGTGAAGTTTGAGGCCAAAGTTGTGATAGTAACAGCAACACAAAGAATCTAAGTGATGCACTTTTAAAATAAAACAGCAGTATAAACCAATGAGAATTAGGAGATAGCAACTTCCTGTAGTCTAGTTGCCTGAATTGCTAACGATTGGGCCTCTGATTTGCCTGTGTCAAATGTCTCCAGCTCCTGAACTCACGGTCATTACATATTCTAAATTGTTGGCTTCACTGAAATTGGACAGATGCTGAAATAGAAACCTCTGTGTAACTGAATGGGTTGCTTGGTAGTAGAGACAGTAAACTGCTTGATCAATGAAGTTGGTGGAAGATAGAAACGCCAGGGATAGAGGCATCTGAGTGGGTGGGTGTCGGTGATAGAAATCTGTAGAATGTGTTGAAGAAGGCGGCAAATTGGATTATGTATATGGTTGACTGNATGGTTCGACTCTGATACCAAATTTGATGTAGGATGAATAAGAAAGAAAGAAGAAGGAACGGGGAGGAGAAACAGAGAGAAGGAAGAAGATGAGAAGAAACCAGGGGACGAGAGGGGAGGGAGAAAACGGCTGCAAGCCACCAAAAATATTTCATTCATCATCAACTGTCTCAAATGAGAAACAAAACAGAAATAAATAGCACAACATAAACCCTAAAGAGAAGGGCTTGGGCCAAATCTACTAAACAAGCCCACTAACGAAAACATAAACAATAGTCCAAATAAAATATAACTAATAGTCCAAATAGAAAATAAATAATAAATGGATGTCCGCATCAATTTGCCTACTCAATTTGGATCCATCTTCGACGAGATAAAGACAATAAATTCTTTGGCACTGCCAATCATCCTCCCATAGCATCTTCGACGAGATAAAGACAATACATTCTTTGGTTCTGCCAATCATCCTCCCCGAGGTTATGTCCTGAAACTCACACTGAGATGGATAAAAATTAGCTTGACAATTGAGATTCTGAGTAAGCTTTGCTTATAGACAGCAGATTACAAGATAGGTTAGGGACATTTAGAACATTATGTTGTGTTAAAGAAGATGAAACCTGAATAGAACCAGTTCCAGCAATGGGGGAAAGAGAACCATCAGTAATTTTAACCTTTTTGTTTCCTGCACGTGGACTATAAGCTGAGAATAATTTTGAATTGTCGGTCATATGGTCGGTAGCACTAGAATCAATAATCTAAAAACAAGATTTATTAGGTAGGATACTAGATTGGGCAGCAAACAAGTAATTACCTTGTTGAGCTAAAGAACATGAAGGATTTATGGGGAATCGTGGAGATTGTAAAAGTTTGTACAAGTGCTCTAACTGTTCTTTTGTGAATAGGACCATATTTGAGTTGATGTGAGTGTCTTGAGAATCTTCAGATGCTACTTGAAAAGCCTGACCATCATTTCCCAATTTTTTCTTGTGATTGAGTGACTTCCCATGAATTTTCCAGCTTTTTTTTCTTTTTCTTTTTTGTGCGCCATGGTTTTTGCAGTGATCGCAATATGGCTTTTTCTTTTGATCCCCTTCAAGGTTAGGGTGTTGAGAAACAAGAGCTGAACTTTATGGTTCAGTGCTGATTGTGGGTTCTAGGTTGCTGAGCATAACTTTCCACCTGGATTCCTCACGTCTTACTTCAGAAAAGACCTCATGGATGGATGAGAGTGGTTTTCAACTGAGAATTCTTCCTCGTACTTCATCGAAGCTGCGATTTAATCCTGCTAGAAAGACATAAACACGATTGTTTTCTTCCTGCTTTATATGCCTAGCACAATCCCTTGAGTTCTCCACTCATCGTCATAGCATTGATCTAATTACTGCTATAAAGTTACAATTTAATTGTAAAATAAAGTAACTTCATGATCACCCTGTCTTGATCTCCACAGCTTCGATTTCAGTTCAAAGATTTGGGATGAGTTCTCCAAATCCAAGTAGGTTTCGTGTACTGAGTCCCACACATCCTTGGCTATTGGCAAAAAGGGATTTCACTTCGCAATCGTGGATTTGATCGAGTCGAGAAGCCAAGCTATCACCAAAGAGTTCTCAGATCTCCGCGTTCTGTGGTGTGGATCATCTGCTGCTGGTTGCTTCACATAACGGAGTTTCCCTCTACTACCGATAACCAGCTTCACTGACTGAGCCCATTCCAGATAGTTTTTACCTTTCAATTTATAAACAATAATCTGCAACGAGTTGACAGAGGGGTTTTCCACACTGTATGTTGCAGCCTTGACTCCAGGTCGAGTTGCTTCTGATGTAGCTTTAGAAGTAGTTCCGGTCATCGTCGTCCTCATCATCGATGTCTTCACCATCGTGATATGTGGAACGAGAAAGCTGGCTCTGATACCATGTCGTTTTAGAGAGATAATATTCCCATCTTTCTTATTGATGATACATAGATTACGACAATATATAGAAGAGATTAATTCCTTAATCTTCTCCAGAATAAAAACAAACTATCTAGTGCATAAAAAATGGAACAACCTGATCTTATTCTATTGAATAATGTCTAACTTTATCCTAATTTATTATTTTCTAATATTCAACAGTTAGCAACAATGTTCACCCACCTTTCGCGGATTCCTGCCAATATACTTCGGTATTTAAAGTAAATTTGGTGATCCTATTGTGCTTTTCTGCTGCTATAAGATGTTGATATGCTGTATTTGGGTCCATTTCATGCTTTTGTTGGTAACTTCTGATGGTTGACTCATGCTTATACTTCTATCATATTCTGCAGGCAGCTGAAGTCAAGAACAACATATCTAGATTCTCTGGATTTGTGTGGCATGATGACGAGGTAAAGAAGAGGCTTTTATTAAGTTATCCAGTGATTGTACAAGATTTATTTAGAACTTATTCAAAGCATTGCTCAGCATTTTCAATGTGCATGTGTTAGGAAAAGCAAATGAGGAAACTAAAAGAAAAACTTGACAAATGCGTCAAAGAGAAATTGGTGGAAATCTGTGATGTTCTCGATATATCAATTTCCAAGTCTACTACAAGGAAGGTATGTAGATCTCTCTGCTTCACATTAACCTGGAAATTCTACGTTGCATTCTCACTTTTTTCCATGGCTTGACCTCTCCACTTACTTCACTTTTCTTGATCTATGCTTTCTTGTTATGGGATACACTGCATGTGTGTTCTAGATAATTTTTTAACATTACCTTGAGCGGTGATGTCAATTTATAGTAGTCACGAGATGTACCACATCTCTCCTGCATTCTTTCGTCTCCAAGATTAAAATTCAATTTATCGTTCATCATGCATCCAGGAAGACATAATTGCGAAGTTGATAGATTTTTTGATGGATCCTCATGCAACCACCACTGAGTTGCTTGCTGAAAAAGAACAGGTTCAACACGAAGTCCAGCCTTTCTTGTTTTGCCTTTTCACTTGGATTTTTGTATATTTACATATCTCATGTACACTGACCAGTTGGGCAAGGACAAGAAGAGGAAGATGGTCAGCAAAAGCTATGTATCAACATCTGGGAATGTATCTTCAAAAGGTTCTGCCAAGGTATTCCCTTTATTGTTAATTGGAGCTGACAAATTTTAGCAGATAAGGTTGGAATTAATATCTCAAATTAGAACATTATAATCTTTATACTATTCAATCATATAAGAAAATAAGTTCAAATTTCACCCAGTTCTTGACTCTTATTTCAGTGCTTTACTGTGTGTATATGTAGAGATTGAATGTAGTTTATCCTTTTGCATGGGGTGAGTTGCCAACTTGAAGCATGTGCTCCATTTTGTTGAACTGGAACGAGTGAGGTAGAACATGCCATGACAGTAGGATGTGGTTTGTAAGTTAATTAATTGATAATAAATTATGCAACAGGAAATGTCACAGCAAAAGTTAGACAAGATATTCAATTTAAGATGAATGGGGTGCTATTTGGTTCTAGAAAACTATTCTTCTTCTAAATTTTCCACTTTACTTTGTAGTTTGGAATACTGCATGTAGATGTTTCCATTTACATGCTTACAGGGAGAATAAATTCAGCATAATTGGGATTCAGAGCCTGTCCCCCGACCCAGAAATAGATCAAAATAAAATTAGAAAGGGGGAAATGATGCCAAGTGAATCCTCCATTTTATATGGATAGAAGCTATAAATCATGGAGGCTATCTCTCTCTGGATATTTTGGCTTTTGTTTAATTACAACTTCGCCCTTTTGTTTGTAATTTTTATCGCTTTTCTTATTTGAACTCTCTCTTCCCCCTCCTCACCCCCTTTTCTTTTTTTCTCTCCTCGGAAATCAATAAATAAATGAAAAACATGCACGCTTATCATTGACAAATATATTCTTCGTAAATGGAAGTTCATTGATCAATTAAAGAAATCACAACTACTAACACTGTGGAAGATGTATGAAAGTATAGATAATATTACCCGTGTTATTAATCTTTATTTCTGGGGTATGTTCAGAGTCAAAAGAGAAATGAGGCTGCATCTAAAAAAGGTGGGGAGAAAAAGAGCATGCCTGAATGTGATGATGAAACAGAAGAAGTGAAAGATGAAGCACATGAAGAGAAAACTGTTAATGGTGTTCCTGAAAGATCAGAAAGCGAGATGTCTGATGAAGGTGAAAGTGAAAGTGAGAAGGAAAGTGCATCCAAAGATGAGCCTGATGAGGACAAAGGAAAGGAAAAGCAAGGTTCAGCAAAATCTCCAGCAAAGAAGGGATCTGGCAAAAAAGCCAAAACTAAGAAAGTTACAATCTCTAAGAAGGCTACTCCTCTGCCTAATAAAGCACCTGCAAAATCACCATCAAGTCATTCAAAATCCGATAATTATACGAGTGCAAAGAAGTCTTCCCGTAAGAAGAATAATGAAGCAGTTAAGGAGAGGTCATCAACTCTAAAGAAATCTGCATCAAAGGAGACAACTGGTGAGAATTGTCGTTTATTTTCCTTTGATGAAACTCTTTGGACTTGATAGTTTAATTATCACCATTCCAAATCTGGACATCCTAAACTGTCTTATGGTTCAAACCTTCTGTGAGGGGCCTATTTATGAGAATCCATTCTCTAAAGTTTTCTTGTTTCTGTCTAAATGAAGGGAAAAAAATTGTGAAAGGTAAAGGCAAGTCCAAGGAGGACAAAATAAAGCCAAGTGACGAAGAACTTAAGAATTCAATATGTGAGATTCTCAAAGAGGTGAACTTCAATACGGTGAGGATCTGACGTTCTCTGTTCCACTGTGAAATGTTTTGATATCCTTCCCTCTACTGTGTTTAGGCGGGAGAAGTGGGAGAGGACGATATAATTTTTCTTTTGAACTCCTTATACTTTAGATTTGGGCTAGTTGATGAATGTCATATAGTTGGTTAAACGAGCCATCCTACCACTTTCTAAACCTAAGACCTTCACTTTGGTAAATTATGCTGTTATTTGCATCCTTAAATATTGCTTAGTGTTGGCTATCTTTTAGAGAATTTATAAGCAGTGCTGCTTTTGCTTTCTCGAGATCATCAAAAAGAAATTTGAACTTCTAAACTTCAATCTTATATTGTTTGTGGTTGACCATGTGGTCTTGTTTTCAGTCCAGTTAAGTGGTGGAAAATGGGATCAACTTATTTGCATGACATATTTGTGTCATTCAAGTGAATTCTTCATTTACCAATTCTTTTCGCTCTGCTTCTCACATTCGATATGTACTGTATTTTTTGCAGGCCACCTTCAATGATATTCTAAAGCAACTCGGTAAGCTTTCAATTTTTATTTTTACATTCTTTCAAGCCATACAATAGCTAAGAATCCCCTTGTACAACCATGTACCTTTTCGATTTCTTTTTGTTTAGTATGGGGGGTTATAGACAAAATTGTAGGATGTTAGATTCTTTAACGTTTCTTGGAAATTGTAGTGTGTTTTTTAATGATCATGGCACCAATTTGACATATTTTGTGCCATTGTGCTGCTATGTACATTACAGTCGAGGAACGAAAGTTTTTGGCAGAATTGCAGTTAGTGCAGCAACAGAATCTGAAAGTTTCTAGTTATTTCTTAGTATTTCACACGGGTTAAATTTCTGAGAACTCTCTAACTTTTCAGCCGAGCGATTCAACGTGGATCTGACTCCAAGAAAATCATCAATAAAGCTCATGATTCAGGGCGAGCTAAAAAAACTAGCCGAAGAACAAGAGGACGAAGAGGATGAAGGTGTAGAGGCCTGACAATCTAAGAAAACACAAAGTATGAAGCGTAAGGTCAGAAATGCAACTCCATCGTCTTAATTTATGTTGGTTCTGCTACTCTGTAGTTCAAAATATTCACATGTTTTATACCCACATCTCCAAGTTAAGCTAGCTGTAATTTGTTGTTAGTGTTATTAACCGAAAGATTATTGTTCAATAGGATTTCTTAGAACTAAATGCTTCAGCTTGTACACGTGCATAAAGTTGTAGAAATTTCCTTTTTTTCTTCAGTGTACTGATCCTTGAATAGTTGATAGATTTTGCACCTTCCTTTGGTATCGCCGCTGACTTTTGCTATTCGAATAAGGTTTTCTGTTTGATTTTGAACAGCTTGGTCCTTAACATCAATTGCTTTCCCCCAACCAATTTATATGGTTCTTAATGGCCGGTCGTGAAATTTTGAGTGCCTTTATACGAATCTAAAATGGTGCTCTTCTTCTATTTAATATTTAGCATGTATCAAAGATTCAAAATTCTCTCCTCGTTTATTGGTTTACGTTTATGTTCTATTTAAATTACTAATAGATAAAAAATAATGGTAGATAAGTGGACAGTACTTGAGGATTTTTGAAAATATATAAATAGTTAGTGATTGCCGGAATTTTCCTTATATGGCAGCATATTATTTGAGGTGCTAATTTTGTAATTTTGTCTTCTCAAATAAGTTAACATGAGGATGACTACTACAATAGCTGATTATAAATAACATTAATAAGGTCAATTTTTATTAAAATTTATTAAAAATATGATTTTAATCTTCACTAAATAGGGGGATAATGTGTTGATTTTTAATGGGATAAGATATTCATTTGGTACCGCTCTATTATGTGTAACTTGTTAGGGTTCATAAAGAATGTAAAATCGAGAGTGCTTATCGTTGGCGAAACATGAACAATTAACAAATTGGGTTTGTAATTAAAAGAAAAAGAAGAAGAAAAAATTGTAATGCAAAATTTGACTAGATATTACTACATAGTCAATGGGATATAACGTGTTGATTTTAATGGATAAGATATTCGATCTAAAATGAGGAAAGAAAGTTTAATAAGCTAATTTCCCACTCTAACCATTACTGCAACTAATACTTAAGGACAGGAATTAGATCGTCTTGATTTGATTGGTTGAAAAAGCTTTAGCGGGAAGAGATAGGTCAATTCATTTTTCGACGCAGTAGGGAATCGAAGTTTCTATCAAATAAAAAACAGCTTCCTCTACGAAGAATGGCAAATAGCTAAAAGTTTGTGGTTGGCGATTTCAATTCTGCTTTTACACGGAGGAGAAAAAACGTGCTCGATCGTGTCCAGTTGGGAATTGTTATGATATCAAAGATTATTTTTTCCTGCTAAAATCCTTTTAAAATACTATTAAAGACCAAAATTCAAATAAGCAAAAGGGGTCAATGAAAGTCTTTGGTAATCTTGGACCAAGAGGGCTAAAGTCTTATCACTTGAAGCGGTTGAAGTGGTGGTCCTGCCCTTGTCTCCTTTCAATCATCCAATATCACAATTCTAAAAGTGCTCCCACTACCATTTTTCATTGTTCTTCACCTTTCCATTAATATCTTACATTAGCCAAGCAACGCATGTGCAAGAACTAGAACAAAATCATCTCACCACTTTTATTATTGGTTTCTCCCTTTACGAGGCAAATCGCACAAGACAACCTAAGTTCTTTATTGGCTAACTATCAAAAGGTGTTCAATTCAACGATTCCAATGAAAAACAATAGCAATATCGTTAATCAATCCTACATCAATTTTCGAAGAATCCATGTAATAAAAACTATTATTAGACACGAAATACTATAAATATATTAGTATCCAAAATTCATGTTAACAACCATCAATTTCACTTAAAAGTCAACTAGTACAAAAGCATTTTAACAAAATTACTCGTTACATTCCTTCAATCACTTTGAACCTATATACATGGAATGCAATTACAATAGTTTGAGATGCCATGAGAGTATTGAGCCGAATGTTGAGGTACAAGTTTTGAGCCGACCCAATTAGGCAGAAAAACTATCAGTCCAAGTTATTAACACTAAAAGCATGAAGATGAGATTTGACCCACAAGGCCAAAATCCATGACAGGAATCAATGACTAAACCAAACTCACATATACACATATATCAACACGAATACTGTATTTGATAATTCAACATATACTAATGTCACGTCATTATCAATAGAAGGCAAATCAAGCTACCTTGGTCTTCCACTGGCAGCCGAAGACCCGGATCCGATATGGTATCCTGACCCAACTTTGCCAGACCCATTTCCACCCATCTGATTGTACCCGTACACTCGTCCCTGCATCTGATGCCCCATCATCGTATACATCCCTTCATAACCACCCCCGGGAGTCCCCATATTTACCACACTGCCATTCCCACCACCGGAGCCGCCTCCGCCGCTGTCCTTCTCCCCTCTTCCGGCCATTGCACTCTTCTCCCCCTCCATATCACGAAACCTCTGCAAGTAAATCTTCAACGGCTCGACGTAATCCTCGAATCCTAAAGTGGTCATGGCCCAGAGTAAATCATCGCCGTTGATCGTCTTCCTTTTCTCCCTCTGGCACTTATCCGACGCCTCTCCGGTGATGAAGCTGATGAACTCCGATACACACTCTTGCACTGTTTCTTTCGCATCTTTCGATATCTTGGCGTTCGCCGGTAGTGCCTTCTTCATGATTCTGCTTACGTTAGCGATTGGGAGAAGCCTGTCCTGCTCTCTTGGGGAGGTCTCGTTATGCGAGTTATGATCTCTCTGTCCTCCCGATTCATTATCAGAATCCGCCATTTTTTCTTTCAATAATTCACGCGATAGTGAAAATTGGAATTTAGACTTTTGGTATTAGTAAGATGTCAAAACTGCTTTGAACTCAAAATCGTAAGATTCGTATTGATCATCCACAGCGTTTGATACCAGAAAGGATGAAGCTCAAAAGCTTTGGCTATATACTGATTTTATATACTCTACCATTCCTAAAAGGCAAAAAAATACAAAAAACCAAAAACAATACAGAAAAAACGCAGGAAATACTAGAAACATCCAACAGTAATAAAAGAAAAAAAAAAGGAAAAATCAGCGAAAAAACTTGAAGAAGTAATTTCACTTCTAAAATCAAAATTACTAGACACAAGTTTTTACTATAATCACTTCAGAGTACCAGATATGACGAAGTTTCAACCGTGGACAATCAAGAAACTAATAAAACCATAAAAAAGCCCTAAAAATAATTACTTGAAAAATCAAACTGTAAACTACCCAAATAGCTACGAAAATTAAATGCTCGAAGTGAAAAATCCAGCAAATTCGGAAAAATCGTAAATTCAAAAGAAATTTTTTGAGAGAGAGTGAAGAGGATTTCAGCGTGGCGACACTGCCAGATCCGTTGGATCAAGTGTTGCAATAATGCGATCTTATAGTACACGTGGATGAATTTGGGCCGCATGTTTATCGATAACTCAGGGACGAGTTTTCCATCTCACGATCGATCGTGAGTGGAGTAATCTGGATCATTGGTTTCGAATCTGGTACGTGTGTGGCTGCGAATGGATTTCTATTTACCCAATCAGAATTGTCATCGTGGCTTACGTGGACCATTCTTCATTTCTTTCGTCATCACTCATCAATTTTCATTTCTTTTTAATTTCGTCGCTTAATTTTACAAAATAAGATGGTCGGTATGGATATTTAATACTTGTTGTGGTTTATAAAATAAAATAAAACGTGTGCCAACCTTATGGTTTCTCTCTTTTTCTTTCTGCCCCCCTTAATAACTTTCCTTTTATTTTAATGAAAGAGAAAAGTGATTTAAAGTTCTTACTCAAAAGTTTTATTTTCATTCTTGCAACATTCTTAGTGTATAAGAAACTAAAAAGTTGTGATGATTAATTTAGTTTAGTTAAAGAATAAAATCCCGTGCTAAAATCAGATATTTATTGCTCATTTTTCCTAGAAATTTGATTATTCAAGTGGAATACATACCGCATAAAACTTTCAAACGGAAAGAATCTTCAATAGAGCGGTTGCACCACATGACGGTGCGACCACCCTATCAGAGTGTGTGGCGCCTTAGCATTAGGCCGTCGTGCCATCCACCCCACTAAAGATTCTTTAGAGGCATTAGGCTGTTGCATCATCCACCCCCACTAAAGATTCTTCCCCTCAAACGAGTTGAGGGTTGAGGGTTCATTTTTAAGTGAACTTTATAGTAAAATCTACTTTAAACTTGATTTGATTGAACAAGTTTAACTAGTCTTTTCAATTAAATTGAACGACTTAATATTTATGTACAATACCTCTATAATATTCATGTTTTAGTCCCTCTTTGGCCCTTAAAATTCGTTTCTTGCAAAATTTATTTTCAATCACATGTTTTATGGGATTTAAAACTTTATCAAATTTTCGACTGTACATTTTATCAACTTCTATAAAAATTTATTAAAAATTTATTTTATAACAAAATTAAACATGGATTTAATGACTTGTTACAACTTATAAGCATGATGAATAGTATTTACTTCTAAAACCAGTCGGTAAAGAAAGAGCGCTCGATAATTTTGCAAGTCCACGAGTAAAATTTTGATTTAACGATACAATAGAACGATTACGTCCACATGTAAAAAGCCTTTTCATTTCCAATACATGCATAATAGTATCAGCATTTTCTTCTGAACGAAGATTCTTCACAAGTCAAACTGAATGAATAAATAATGGAAACATAATCATAATTCGGATGAAAGGTATTTTCATTTTTGTATGACTGTCTACTATAGCTGGACCAAACAAATAGTTACAATAAAATTCCCAAACTTGGCACATACTGCAACTAAATTTCTCGAATTAGCCAATGGAAGATTCGAAGGCTTGAACCATGCACAGATACTGGAAATATTTTAAAAAATAAAATTGAAAAGCCTGATCGAGCTTGTGGTTGACCATTGCGACAGTCCACGAATCGAAAAGTCGATTTTTCATGGGGGCATGGTTCTGGATTTTTCAAGAACTGAAATCATTCTCTGAACTTTCAAGTATTTTGCAAATTCGATTTATTGTAATTTTTGGTTCGAATCAAAATGCACCTACCTAGTGGACATCTGGTGACTCAATCTGAATATTTCAAGAACAGAAATCACCCATTAGACTTCGAGTATTTCATAAATGAAAATATTCGTTTCAATCCAATTTAATCAATTAAAGCAGTTCATTTCTCAGGCCAGGAGTATCCTTTTGAAGGAGTAGCTCAACGCATTTGAAAAATAGTTCCCCAACAAAAACCAGAGCCGAACCGTCACATGGGCTGGAAGGGACTAGGCCAGCTAGTCGATTTCAATACTACTATTACTGCATACGGCATTTTGTGGGTTCAAACCCAACTCCACGATTCAAGGTCTGCATGCCTTCAAAACATTCAAGGTATCATTAAGGAAAAGCCAAATTATAAAAAGAATTAAGTAGAGAATCGTAAGTTGTTCCGTGAAAACGATTCCCCTAATTCATCGTCCGATGGCGTAATACGTTTTAAGACACTGAACAACGAAACAAGGGACCCATCTACTAATGATAGACAGCATTAAGAGAACAATTTCATGCACGAAACTAAATAAAAAATAAAAATAAAAATTGATTTCTTTGTAATATATACAATTAGAAACATACAATTCTTGGGTTCAATAATCCCCTTGATTGTATAGCTACATTCTACATAATCTTCACATAAATGGCATGATTAACACGATAAACCTAAGAAAAAAGGGGGTAAAGTTACAAAAAATAAAAAACAGAAAAGGGGGCACATGTTTATCATCCTGTCTTCAATCCTAATACATCACATTCAAATAGCAACATTCTAAATTATTCACCAGATCTCAACACTTCAGCGTTTCAAGCCATAATCATCATCCACAACATTAGATTGTTAAAGCGACATTAAACAAAAAGATAAATGAAATGTTCGAATACTTAAAAAGGTTCGACGACGAGCAGCACTATCCTGGCTAAGAGGTGTCACCATGTCATATCATCTTCCAAACTAAAGCTTTATGCCCATCCATACAGACTTCCAGTAGAACAGCTCCAGAATCATAGGCTTCCATCTAACAATTAAAAGAGAAAATGATATCAATTATTTGTAAAATAGTAATAAGTTATCACTTGTGCCTTGAAATATAATGGTTCACAAGTAGTGTACTTCATTTAGTCTAAATCTTCTCAATAGCATTTTTGCCATTTTCTGGTTTTGGTGGTGGTGGTGGTGGTGGTGTTGGTGGTGGTGGGGATATGAGGAAGAATAAACAAAAGAATCCCTAATGAAAAACCTCATCCATCAAACTACGGCATTGCAAGAAGAAATTGTGCTTCAATCACACCATGATCTTGTCAAATTTGATATCATGTCATTCCGTCTTAGTTTAGATCTTATCCTTTCCTTTGGGTTGTCTTCGGTTCATTGAAAGACGATAGCAAGGGAAAAGGGGGAGGGAGGGAGATGTATACTCCCCCAAGTGAAAAGTGTGTATCAGTGTATGTAAATGCATACTTAAAAATGTGTACATGTATGTAAGGAAGTATTTTCCCTCTAACTTGTCATTTGTAATTTCATACCCTTGTTTCTGCTACACAATGCATGCACACAATTTTACTAGTGTACTTTCCACAACCTTGTTTGGTGGAAGGAGGAGTTGGTGAAGTGGAAAAGGCGGAGAGAAGAAATTGAAGCATTTAACTTTTTTCTTTTTACCTTTCTGTCGTGCCCTGGTTTTCCAATTATATATATTAATTGAGGTTAACTTAGTATTATTTGGTCTAGCCACTTCAATTCTGAAGCTCTACTTTTCTGTCACACCCTCTTCTGTTACTTACCAGGATAACTTGTCATTTCCACTTCCCCTCCTAATATTACTTCNGAAGCTCTACTTTTCTGTCACACCCTCTTCTGTTACTTACCAGGATAACTTGTCATTTCCACTTCCCCTCCTAATATTACTTCAACTAAACATGCTTCTCTTCCAAGGCCTTTACAGTAGGGGAAGCGGCAGCTATGGATTGATCTATGCATTGAATGTTTTTATTAGCTTCTAGAGTGCAAATGAAAGGGGAGATCACTAAATCCTATCAAAGTGCACAACCATTACATTTACTAAATAAAAAAGGTACTAATTCACAATCAAAACCCAACACATGTCTCAGTACCCGTGACCTATCATAACAATGATAGAATAATTAATCATGGGGCAGCTAACTTTAGGCAAAAGGATACCTCCTAGTTTTGAGTAAGTTCCACAAGGGGCGTGTTACTACTAAGTTCGGGCTAAAATTTTAATTCCCTTCCCGTTTAACCCACAAATATGCATGAAACACCGAGAGGACGAAGAGCGCATGATATTTCCAATACAATTTACTTAACAAGATCAGAAGTTTTTTATTTAGTGCAGCGTAACAATCTCCGAACTGCCACACGGATAAGAACTGCATTGTAAAGACTCAATAAAGACTTCACGACTATAATTAACCAATTACATAAATAATAGTGATGTGCAATCACCAACTTACAGATACGACCAAAAAGGAAGGACATGAGTGATACACATATTTGCCAATGGTAAGGCTCTAACACAGGTGCAAAATTTTAAACTTTGAAAATAATGTTCACGCGAAAATCTCACATTTTGGTTTTGGCCAGACAGTGAGATTCAGTTTTCATTGAATTTTCAGAAGGGTAAGGTTGGGGATTGTGGATGTGTCAAATTTTGGTTTTGGCCACACAGTGGGATTCAGTTTTCATTGAATTTTCAGAAGGGGTAGGGTCGGGGATTGTGGGGACAACTAGAGTCAATGAAAATTACAATAACAAACATGGGCAGAAATGAAATCCATAATTTCTGTTGCTTGAAGGTACATGTCACTGTGTGATTGTGCAAAGCTATGGCTCTTCCTCAAAGGAGTTACAAAACAGAAGATCTTCCTATTATATCGAGGTAGACATGAAAAACAAAAGCTATCTGCCAAAGAGTTCAATTATCGTGTGCAAAATGTAAAAGAGATTCGTGTAATTAAACAGCTCACTTTATTCATGTGCTGAGAAAACCCATAATCTTTCAGAAGAAGCCATCACAGATTTCACAACATAGAAGCCATAGAATGTATTGAAGTGCATGACTGTTCAGCGTCCACTGAAGCGAGGCAACCAAGAAAGAAGCTATTTAAAGAGTCTAAATGATCATGGCTAACCCATAGTTTACCTAGTACCTAATCAGTTTCCAGTTTCTTTCTGAACTACAATGCTGAGAGATGCAGTGAACACCTGATTACTCAGAAGTTAGGCGTCGCCTCTTCCCATAATCGGCATCCCTTGATCTTGACCTACGATCTTCCTCATGTGATAGTCTCGATTTGCTGTGAGTCCTGGACGATCTTACCCTGTCCCATTCATCATCATATTCTGGCTCACGGTCCCTGTACCTATGATGATCAGCATATACATCTCTGTCATCCCGTTGATGATCACGGTCCCTCCCACGTTCACGCTCGCGGTCTCGAGAATGACCAGGATTCCGGTCCCGGTCGCGGTCCCTCTCCCTGTCTCGTACACCAACACTTCCATCGCGATGCCTCCTTTCCGACCACTCACGATCATGCCCCGTATCTTTTTCTCGAGGCATATCTCTGTCATAGCCTGGTTCTCTATCATCTCGATACCTCCTATCTGAAGATCCAGACCAATCCCTTTCTGAGCCTCTGTCCTTCTCTTTAGTATCATTTGCCCAAGGCCCTTTATCATGGCTCCCTTCTCCATACTGATGGTCAGATGCAGCTTCTTCTCCATAACTAGACTCTCCTGCTCTCCCACCATGCTCGTCGCCTGTCCATCCAGCCATATTAGGATCCGACCATGTGCCCATATGAGGCCCCTCAAATCCAGGAGCAGGCATCATACCCATACCATTCATGGGCATCCCTCTCCCAAAAAATGCCGGATTCACATGGGGAGCAACACCAGGCAAACCAACACTTCCAACAGGTCCAAATGAAGATAACATTCCAGAAAAGGGTGGGGCAGGCGCACCAGGAAATCCTCCATAACTACCCATTCTCCCCATGGGCCCTCCAAAAGCAGGATCGAATCCCTGACCCATCATGGTTTGAGGATGTAATAATGGAGGAGTGGCACCAATCCCCTGCGCAAATCCATTACCGTTACCCATTAAACCACGACCACCTATTCCACCACCCCTGTTTCTCATTGGACCCATAGGCCCCCTATTCCCCATACCTCCTTGACCATTACCTCTACCCCAATTCCCTCTCCCAAAACCTCTGTGACCATCACCACTGCCTTGATAGTTCCCACCTATAGCCATGTTGCCTCCGCCTCCACCGCCGCCGCTAGGTTTACCTGGCACATCTCCAGTTCCTCCAGGCCCTCTTCGTGGTTGATTAACAGCTGGCTGGGCCGCATTTTGGTTTCTATTCAACTGAGCTTCACCCATTCTCTTGACACTATATGGTGAGGCATATGCAACTACACATGGCCGTCCATTAAACAAATGCCCATTCATTCCTTCCTTACATGCAGTGGCACTATCGGGGTTGAAAAATTCTACCTGACAGTAACCTTTTGACTTCCCACTAGCCTTCTCATCAAAAAATTTCACTTCCTTTACTGGCCCATACTTGCTTAGCTCCTCCTCCAGCTCAGAATCAGTTGTCCACCAATGCAAATCACCAACAAAAAGAATTGTTCCTCCACCACCACCACCACCACCACCAGCAGCAGTAGTCCCGCTGCCAACACCACTTCCAGGTATGTATCCTCCAGTCCCAGTCACATTCCCCCCGATTCCAACATTTACAGGGCTTGCTGCAACTCCTATATTGGCTGCACGTGGCTGCTGATGCTGAACCATTTGTTGACTATTTGCAGCACTGTTATTCACGGTCTGCTCTTCGAACTCAGCTGGTTTATTCGATGACTGCTTTAGTTCAACCCTAAACCCCACAGCACCTGGAATCCCCAATCCACTTCCACCTGTCACCCCCAAACCTCTACCAGCCCCAATATCGTTAATACTATTATTCCCCCTAAACCCCAAATTCTGATGCGCCTCTACTCTAACAGAATCCCTCGTTGATTCTCCCTCGTCTTGTACAGCCCCACCCCGACTCTCCACTACCGGCTGCGGTGCTTGACGCGGCGGAGGAGTCGGCTCGGCCTTGTTCTCCGGCACTTGCTCATTTCTCTGACCTAGATTATCCTCGTTCTTCCTAATCGACTGAAGGAAGTTCTCACCAACATTAACATCGTTATACAGATCTTCATAGTCATCTTCCTCTTCGGCGAGGAAACCCTCGTCAGCTACAGCGGATATGGCTTCGTTCCGATGAAACTGCTCGCCAGCTTCATTTTCGTCCATTTTACTGAAAACCTAGAATTAAGCTTAGGGTTTCCCTATTCGGCAATTTATTTCTAATTCTAAGTGCGTACACAGAACAATCTCAAAATCTTCATAAAAATCGAGGAAAGCAAGGAAATTTCTAGATCGGTCTTAGGGATCTTACCAAAAGATTTGCCCTCTATGTTTTAGGTGTATTGAGCGAGAGAGGAGAAACCCTAATCTAGAAACAGCGTATGGTGCGCCACTTTGAATCATATCGGCTTAGGTGCATCGCGTTACCCATTAGTAATGCGCGTGATCGTGACTCGTGGAATTGGATTATCATTTTCTTACCTTAGTTTTTTTTTTTTTTTAAATAAAAAAAGGACACTTACAAGACCTTTATTTCTAATTTACGCGTTAAGGCATACGAAAAAACAATGCCGGTTCAAAAGAAAAGATAGGTGATCCATATTTAAGGGTAGCATTCTAAAAATTTGGGGCACAATCTTTTCGTTTTGATTTCTAATAAATAAATTGGAAGTTAGATGGAAGCAAAAGGGAAAACTAAGAAAAATTGAGTAGATAATAAAAGAGAGAAAAGTGCAAAAAAAAACAACAACTAATGTCGTCGTGCCCATTGTCGAACCTAGTAGATATGGGACTGTGTTTGGAACAAATGAGATTGGGAGGATTGAAACATATATAGTAATTAGTAAGTTTAAAGTAGACGAATCGATGAAAATTATTGAGCGAGGACAAAGCATGATAAGATTGGGCAAAGAGGGTTCCAATGCAAATGGACTCAACTATTATAATAGATGTGTCCTTATTCATCTTTTATGTGTAATTGAAATTTTAACAAATAAACATAACATTCTATTAGAGTTGTTACGTCTCATCTCGAGTAGTAGATCAAGCAGCCAACTAAGTAAAATAAAGTCCACACTCCAACCTACCTCGCTCTCACACATCTCTTGGAGGCGTTAGGGCACCTTTTTTTGACATGATACCACTTATTCCTGAAGTGGTACTTCACGAATGATTTTTGAGGTGGTATACATATTCTATCAATGGCATCTTTTACTAATACAACATTAGCCATGTTGAGACTTGTGATTCCATCTTAAAAGGTTAACGTGATTAAACGGAATAATTCGAATATTTATATGTTATCCATATTTTCACCTTTATTCAATGCGATATTTATCCCTTAACATGCCTCTGAACAGATGGCTCATTTGATCAAACCAATTTTGAAATTCGTCTACTTGTTTTTAAAGCCTTTATCAGATCGAAATACCAGTTGGAATGTAATGGACTTTGATATTATGTTAAGACTTGTGATTTCATTTTAAATGATCAACCTTATTAAAGGGAGTGGTTCAAATCTTTATATGCTGGTTTATATTTTTATTTTTATTTGATATGAAATTTGTCCCTTAACGGCCAAAATATACTCGATAAAGAGATACTCTGTATGTTTGATATCTTGGCAACTTGCAACACATATATTTAGCCCTTGTTTGGTGTTTAGCCCTTGTTTGGTCCAATTATTTTCAAATATATTTTTCTTTTTATTATTTTCAACCATACATTCATCAATATAATAATATTACACGCGAATTAAAAAAATTTCTTTTTTTTTTAATTATATGTTATCCATCAAATTTTTATTTCAAAATGCATTTTGGGGGAAAAGACTGCTCAAATAGGCTTCTAATCAACTTTTTCATCTTGCTTTTATGATATATGGTGACTTTTTTTTTTTTTTTGTTCAGTTTGTTGTGGGTGATCACATGCCTCGGACAACTAGGATTGACAACTTTTGTCTTCTGACTCATTACGACGAGATCACATATCAAGGATCCAATAAACATCACTTTATCTCTCTAATTATTAGAGCTTGCTCTCGTGCCTCCCAAATGTAAGGCTATCTAACAATGAAACAATAAGCACCATATCTACATATTACAAATTTGGTATTATCTCTTCAAATCGAATATCCCTATTCTCATCTTAGGAGTGAATATATTTCGATTTGAATGATCTGTGATAAAATTTCAAATCAAATTCACTTGCAAAGATTTGGAATTTTTTCAAACCAAATCAAACAACTTCAATTTTTAAACCAAACAAATCCAAATAATTTTTTTTTAGTTCAATTTAAAACCATAATTTAAAGAATATGAAGAAGAAATATATATAAAAGTTAAATCATAAATATTAATATAAAATTTCTCTGTTTGTGAATTATCCAATACTTTTACTTTATTCAAATATTGACTAATCACTATAATTTCTCGTTATTTTACAACTAAATTTTAAGATAAATCATAGTATCATCGGTATGTGCACCCAACAAACTCCCAACTGAATCAAGAATTTGATTACTAATAGGAAATGCAAATTCAAAAAGAATTGTGAATATTTGAATAGCTAACACGTCTTTAGCAATTTAAGGGGACAATCTTGTATTTATTTACATTCAGTTTTTATCAGAGTAATATGTCGAAAGTTTCATTGGTGAAATCTTCAAAACTACCATATAAGTAGTCCATTAACTCATCCTAGCAATCAATAATAAACTCTAAAAACATAGTTAAAATGTGAATTAACAATTGAGTGATTTGATTCGGAAATTAAGATGTAGATAAATCAAACCATTTTGAAAGTCAGTTGGTTCGGTTTAAAACCAAATTGTCGATGGATTAACGCGTGCCCAAACCAAGGATTTCAAAAACGTGATTTCAATTTAATTTTAGGGTATTAAGTTTCTTTGTTCAGCCCTATCTCATCCTATATTTCTCACTCTACACCCAACAACCATGCGTGTCTTTTTCACCCAAATATTTGTTGTAAATCACCCTTTATACCAGTAATAGTAAACTCTAACACATACATCTTAAATATACTTCACGGGTCAACTATTGAATGTCGATAAATGTTGAGTGGTTGAGTACAGTATTTAACAATGTTCTAAAAAGTTTAATACATGACGTTGAGTGGAACCAATTTATGGGCTAGACGAGTTTAGATAAGGTATAAGCGTTAAAAAAGAAGAAGTAAAAATGCACTTTCTTATTTTAATATTATTTTAATTTTCAATTGNTGGTATCTTCCAAATAATTATTAGGAATACATCATGTAACAACAAATTCAAAGGTTCTTCACATCGAAATCAAATTAGTTTGTGCTTCTTCTATTTCATTAGTTCTACTTTGTGTTCATTTAACATTTGATATTTAAAAATATATATGTTTAAATGGATTGACAGGAAATATTCCAAATGAAATTGGAAACCTATCAATACTTAATTATCAACTTTAAATTTTTTGGTACTTCTCATTAATTAGATTATTTTTTACTAATTGAACATTTAATATTTTAAGATTTATATGTTTAAATGGATTGACAGGAAATATTCCAAATGAAATTGGAAACCTATCAGCACTTGTATGTCTGGATTTGGGGGTCAACGGTTTCAATGGTACGTAACTAGATCTCCTAAACTTATTTTATTTATTAATTTCAATTTTCTAAAATGTGTAAATTAAGCTTTGAGGTTTTACAAGCCTATATGTGCTAGGCATTAAAAACATAAATTGTTGCTAGGTGTCAAGGTCCAGATTCATGCATGGACAACCTTTTAGAACACTAATTAAATATATTTCAACTTGTTTATTTAGTCCTGACAAATTTAAAAAAAAAACTCTAAATTTAAAATTCTCATACATAACAAAGATTTTAATGTTGATGGAAAATCTTAATGAAATTTAGGTTACGACATACGCATTTTACACTTTTTGACAAATGTTTTTCAACATGTATGTAGTTTCCAAATAATTATTAAAAATACATCACGTAACAAATAACTTCATAGGTACATCATTATCAAATTCAAATTAGTTATCACTTCTCTTCTTTCATTAGATTTATTTTGTGTTAATTTAACATTTAATGTTTTAAATTCAATATGTTTAAATGGATTGACAAAAGATATTCCAAATGAAATTTGAAACCTATTATGGCTCGTATATCTAGATTTGTGGCCCAATAATTTCACTGGTTCCCAACTAGATCTACAAAATTATATATATTAAATTTAATGTTCTAAAAAGAATAAAATGTGACAAGACATCAATGTTAAGCTTCGGAGTGTTGCTAGCCGAAACGGGCTAAGCATACAAAAGTGTAGTATGTGGCTAGGTGATAGGGCCAGCTTTGTGCATAAATGCACCTTTTAGAACACTTATTAAATCTTTTTTGATTTGTTTATTTAGTTTCATGAAAATGATTTATATCAGGATTCTAAATTTAAAATTTTCATATACAACGAAGATTTTAACGTTGATGGAAATCAAAATGAACTTCAACTTACCACCTAGGCATTTTAAACTGTTGCTCACAAAGTTTTTCAAAATGTATGCCATCTTCCAAACATTTATTAGAAATACATCATGTGACAGTAACTCCATGGGTACTTAATTATCGAATTCAAATAAGTAGGTACTTCTTCTCTTTCATTAGATCTATTTTGAGTTAATTTAACACTTGATATTTTAAAATCTATATGTCTAAATGGATTAACAGGAAATATTCCAAATGAAATTGGAAACCTATCAGTACTTAATTATCAACTTTAAATTTTTTGGTACTTCTCATTAATTAGATTATTTTTTACTAATTGAACATTTAATATTTTAAGATTTATATGTTTAAATGGATTGACAGGAAATATTCCAAATGAAATTGGAAACCTATCAGTACTTAATTATCAACTTTAAATTTTTTGGTACTTCTCATTAATTAGATTATTTTTTACTAATTGAACATTTAATATTTTAAGATTTATATGTTTAAATGGATTGACAGGAAATATTCCAAATGAAATTGGAAACCTATCAGCACTTGTAT